CTTAATGATTCTATTCTATTCTATTCTGTGGTCACACAATGTTCCACAAACAAACTGTTGAGAATTACACCAGATCTATTTGTGTGCGCGCACATATTTAACACACACTCACAAACTAGCAGAAACTTGCCTGTTGCTGCAGGCCCCTGGAACGTGTACACATTCTCACAAACCAGCAACAACAGAAGATGGTGACCAGGGCTGGCCAGCACTCTTCAGATCAGCGCATCGGTTGTCACAGAGGTAGAAAACAGAAAGAACTGAAGCATTGTTGCTAGGAGAGAGGTTTGAAACATAGAGATGCGTTTCCCTGAGCTACATAATCCTGAATGAGAAATTCTGCCACAAAGAAGAGCAAGGGCTGTGCCCCTCTGCAGTTCAGGTCAATATTCACATGATTAAGAAAAATAAGATAACTCCATTATTATAATTTAAGGTCACTCAGATTGGTTTGGTTTTTTGGGTTGGTTTTTTTTGTTTGTTTGTTTTTGTTTTTTTCCAGGGCAAGACAAAAAACCTCTAAGCTTCCATCAAAAAGAATCTCCATCCTTTGGTCAGCTACCGACAAGATACACATTATTAAGCTGCAAAGCTTCATTGTTAAGAAAGTCAGGGGAAGCTTTTGTCCATCCTTTCTAAGCTAGGCTGAAAAAGACTCTTGGAAAATGCCTTGTTTAAGAAATGAACCAAAGGATGCAACAGGACTTTTGTACCTGTGAAAGTCTTGTACAACTCTTTGGGCTAAGCACAAAAGGACTATGAAGTCACTAATAGAATCACCTTCTAACATGGCCATGTGTATCACAGACGTAAAGTAAAATGGGTTGTTTGAGACAAGAATCAGAAATATAACCAAAGTTAAACACCAGTTTTTTATAATTCTCCTTTCAGCATTTCAAAAAGGGAAAAAGCTTCAATTCACTTGTGGGCTTCACTGAGTGATGATGAACCTATTGTGAAATTTCTAGGAAAAATAGAGATAAAGAGGACGTAAATCAGAGCAGCATTATGGGAATCTTCTATTACTTGATGTTAGAAATCAAGTAGCTAGTTCAAAATGGTTTTTTCCAAGGAAAAAAAATATTTTTTAACCAAAATGAAATTTCTAAGAAAAATGTTTTAATTGAGGGACACAGTTCTTCCCAAAACTTCTTGTCTCCTGGTATTTTATCAGCATTTACAAAGGCAAAGCAGGAGAGAAAGAAAGGAGTTGCTAAAAGGAGCTGTTAACAAAAATGAACAGCAAGAAGGAACACTTTCATCACACTCTTTTCCCCTAATTTTCTGAGTGGTTGGTTGTTGGGTTTTTTTCTTCTGATATTCTAATTGTCATGTATACAGAAATGGGAGCTCTGGTAGGCAGTGACAATGAAGATGATGCCATGCTGCCTTTTCAAGCACAGTTTAAAGTTCAGCAAATCTAAAAATTTTCCAAGTATTCAGAAATCCTTTTAGTACCAATGGGTGAATGAAGAGAAAGAACAATACAGCAATGTAGTCAACAACAGGGAGCACTTAGTGAGTCTCCGAAGCCATTTCCTTTATGCACAAAGAGGCCGTATTATTGTAAAGGTTGCCCTATTATTTGCACAGTTTCCAGCAGGAACAGAGCAAGAGCTGTAAACTAAAGGAAAAATGACCACGAAGGTACCTTACAACATCAATTTAAAGCTACCTTAGTCCTTGAATTATTTTAAACTTTTTTGATCAGTCAAAGCATACTTTCAAATAAAAACACTGTTTTCCTGCTGTATCTGGCAGAGACTACCTGATAATTTCCCTTTCAGTCTGACCACAGCATCGGGAAGGAAAGAGTCCACGAGCTAATACAAAACCCTGGCCCTTAAGACAGTCATTTCCTTCTCCCCAAGATTCAGGTCAAGAATGCAATTTTTAAGACATAAATTGGGGATATTTTCACAAGCAGAAGTTACTGAAAGAGAAGAAAACAAACTGGAATGGTTCAGATCCAAACTTGGTGTAAGAAGTTGTGCGCATGAGTGTCTGGATGCAGCAAAGATGTAAAATACATTTAATTTGGATATAAGCAGTAATATAAGTTATACGTTGAACAAGTACAAAAACAAGTAAATGATTGCAACTAAGCAGATCTAGGAAAAAAGTATTGAGACTTTATATATGTAAATGAAATTAACTGGTGAAAGTCAATGTATTTACTAGATTGCAGGGTCACACTTTGTTCTATGGAGCAGACAAAATAGCAGAAGAACGTGTTTCAGGAAAAGCAGAGTAAGAATGCTGCACAGAGTAACAGCTTTGACATCAGCTTCAGGAATAATAAGGTATTCACAGAGAGAGCAAAGAAGAGAAACCATGTAATTTCTCTTGCCTATCCATAACTCCTTTTTCTCATGAACACTTCAGCGTCAAAGACTCTGACAAAAGCAATTCAGTTTTGTCCATGGATTGGCTCAACTTTCGCATCATAGATATAAATGCATCTAATTTGTGTTATTATCGTTTAACAGCTTAATGACCTCTAAAGGCAGAAACATCAGTTTCTATCCTTTCACGCATGTTGTTCTGTTTCTATTTAGGTATCTTTGTAAGCTTCCTCCGGTACATCTCCCACCCACATTTACTGCTTTCTCTTGGTCCTTTATTTGCAAGATTCCCTATCCTTCCCCCAGGATGTATTTCTAGCAGCTGGGTTTTCTCCTACACAGATCATCCCTCCTTGTACTGTGAAATAGCAAGCCAACCACATAGAGATAAATGAGGCTACGTTGAAAGAAAGAAAAGCCATTTGCTATTAAAAAACCCTCACCTCCACCACAAACTGATTTTGATGCCTTTGATTGAATGGCGTATACCTTCACAGACGTACATAAACTAACACTAAAAAGCACAGCTACTAGAGAAAAGTAGTTTTCAGACCTAAAAGTATACATTAATGCATACTTGCAAGACTAATCTGATTAAAAATCTTTCACCATAATAGTGCTTACACAACTGTTCTTAAATATTTAAGAGTATGACACTATTCCAGAACATTGTAGAAACAAAACATATAATTGTGCTCTTAAAAACATTTTCCTCATTAAGCACAACATTTCTAACATCTGACCCTTTTTGAAAAGATTGACTATTTCATCTATCTACAGAAAAATACATGTTATATAGTACTTCATATTCTCTAGACGGTAGCTAAGTATTTGAGGACAGGATAGATAAGCACAGTTTAAAGAACTTCCACCTGCTCCTCTCATTGTTACAGAGAAAATGTCATCGAAGTGTACCAAAGGTGCAAATGCTCCAAATTTTTGCACTGGAGGGATAATTTAGGTGCTTTTTTTACCAGCACTCATTTCATATGTGTAAAGTTAAAGCTATTTCCTTCTAACTCAGCATCTCATTTCTGGACCTGCTCACAGGCCACTCAAACTCTGGGAACACAGACCTCCTGCTACGTAACCTTGCTGTACATCAGCTGTACATACATCCACATAGATTATTTTCCTTCTCCTTCTAAATTTTTTGACTGCTTTGCAAGTCTGACTGCTTTTTATAATGCAGTTTCCCCACCACAAATGAACTACAAGGGAAAAATCAAATGTAGCTTTATTTAGAGGAAATTTTATTCCAACATAAAATTTATAATTCTTACCATGGTCTGGAAGCTCAGACACGCAGAGCTGACTTGATGTCTGATTTCCACTTGGTTCATCATGTCCTGTGGACACACGGTTGCATGTAATGACTGGCTGAGAATGAATCAGGGGGTTTGAAGTCTGCTCATCAGATTCCTTAGTCAAACAAAGCAGCATGGAGGAACAGGTACAGTTAGAGCTTTGAGCAGGATCACGGTACAGTGGTTGCCCTGATCTACACAACTGCTGGGACTTATATTACTTAAACACTAAAAAAAATCCTAACTTATTTGAAAATGATCGGTAGTGACTCAGCCATAAGCAGAGACAGATCGAACATATTTTTTTCCCCGGACACAAGGGGAAATAAACAGAAACTAGGCTGCAAGCAAAAGAAAAGGTAGGAGACAAAGCACTAACTAAAACCTCATTATTTCTGTGATACTTTCACTGACTATTTCCAAACTGACACCGTTGTCTTTACAATAAGATATAGTGCTAGAATTGAACGGGCCTATCTTCTGTTGCAGATAGTTTAAGAGCAAAGGACAGCTTACAGTGGGAATCATTCCAAGACTTCATTCTTACTAAAAAGCCCATTGAAATGTTAATGTTCTTAACCAACCAAATGAAAAGAACCCACAGCCATGCCAAATTAGAGTATTTAAAGGATTACAATTCTAAACTTACCTTGCAAACAAATGTATTTTGAACTCTGATGTCATGCAGACTGTCAGTAAGTACATTTCAGAAAGCAGATTTAGATTTAAGGGTGACTTAATAAAAGAAATTTGTGCGATTAATAGAGAGTTTGTCGAACCATATCTGAATAACTGAGCGCGCTTTCTCTCATCACAGATCCATAAGTTCAGCTAAGCAGTCCAGACTTTGATGCATTTCCAAATGATTAGTCTTAGAACAGGACTGCGCCTCTAGTGCTAAAGAAAACTGTTGTATGCTGAATGTGCATAAATGAGGCCTCTGACACAACAGCCCACACTTACATGTAGGACATTGACATTCAGCTGCTGAAAATTACGGGACCTGAATTCTTGCATTCTTTTGACATTTTCTTGATATTTTTCTTCTGCCAGCTGCCTGTAAACACAGAATACTTGTGTTTAGGATGCTATATCGGGGATCACACAAAGGGATCTTCTAGAAATAGACATGGAAAAGCAAATTCCATAATCAGACTCCCATGATGCCAAACACTCATGGGATCTACTCAAGTGAGGTTAGTTTTAGTGAACTCACAAAGAGATTTCAGGCCTTATTTCCAAGCGCTGTTACATTTTTCTTTCACAACTTGCACAATATAATTGAGAAACTGTAAATTATTAGTCCTAGTCTTTTTTGTTTCTTCCAAAGATCTTCAATACTTTGGACTTCATTCCACCATGTAGTCCAGGGACCTTTCAGCTGAAGACAGGCATGCAACACTTTTGTGCTATGAACTGGGGGAGGGTTGGTAACTGTGTGTCTCTGGATGGGACGACTTAAACCAGGTGCTACATTAAGCAGCTCTTCCAGTTTCCATGGCTGTGTTCCCTTCCCATTCATTTCTCGATTTGCACTGCTGAAAGCAGATCTCCAGTCTGAGCAGGTACTGGTTTTGCACTGTTTCAAAGACTTTCAACGAGAGTGACCTGGCAATAACCCAGAGCTGAATATAGATCCATTTTAAAGATTCTTGACTGAGAACAAGATTTGAAAATTAATATGTTGCCTTTATATTATAAAATAAATATATTTAATTTTGTTGCTCGGGAAAAAACCTCAAAAATCTAAATAGAAAACACTAAAGTGCAAGAAAGTAAAGAAAATGAAAAGCAAACTAGAACTATCCTGCAATTAGTATTATATCCTACTCTTTATTAATTTTTAAAAAGTGAAAGAGACAGACTTCCTATTTATAAATTTCATATAAGTACAAAAATTGGCCTACCGTATCACTGAAAACACCATGCAGAAGAGGTGTTAAATTTATACAGTGGTTTCCATTCAAGGGGATTTTTTAAAAATGAGAATAAATTTACATACTATCTTCAGTATCACATGCAACGGCAAGCATCAGACAGGCATATACACTGATCAGATATCTTTTCCAAAAGGAGATGAAGGCCTTTGGTATTTTGTTTGTAGCCTTTGGGCATGGCCATCACAAGCTGGGATGTGATTTTACCGAGCACTTTCACTCAACTGCTGTTGATTTGCTGGTATATATAGCTGCAGAGTTTCTGAGGTCACAAATTCAGACTTCATATCACCTCACAATATTTTCCCATTTCTAGGACATCACTACCTTACTGAATTCCTAACTTGCTTTGTCATCACAGGGCTAAGATGTCAATTCTCATGATCAGAAATAATTATTCCCTCTATTGCCCTGTATAAGTAACTGAGTAAACGTTTGTTAATTTACATTGCACTTCACAAAATGCTTTTGAAGAAAACATTAAAAATGTATTGAAAATGAATGTGGTGCTTTTTCGATTTTCATTCATACCAAATAAAACATTAAATATTTTTAACTGGGAAAACTCAGGTGTGTCATCAAAACAGTATATTTTTCTTTTTATTTAAAAAAGGAACCCATGCACAGACACATAGCCTTCCAGCTGTTTCTCATATTCCACTTGGAAATGGTATTTATTCTCCTTCAGATTCCCCCATTATTATGTCTCACTCAATAAAAAAACATAAATCATACAGCCTTTATAACATGTCCATTACCCCTGTCTGATCATTTGAGAAGGCTGTCTTCAGAGCTATTAACTTCTACTGGCAAATCTCTCAGGACAAAACAATTGACAAAAGCTGGATTGTAACTAAATCTGCAATTCCTCCAACTGTGCAATCCTTAAAACGTCAAGTCATTAAAAAAAAAATCTCCTGTTGTAACACATCTGAAAATCTCCCATATTTAACCAGAAACACAGCACTCAAAGTACCAGTTTTGGGCTAATGTTCTGACTTTTTTTTCTACATAAATAATTACTACGATTTAACTAATCCAAAATCCCCATTCACTTTCAGTAGCTGAAGACTCTTTCTATTTTTATTTTTATCTTGACAGTTCTAACTCTCTCATTAGACTGTTGGATGGGGAAAACTGCACGGTTAGGGCACGGTGCTAATGTTATGCTCCACTTACTTCAACTTCTTTGCTTTCTCATCTGCAGCATTTAACTTCCTCAGCCTCATCCGTTCCCGTGGTGTCATTTTCTGTACTTCAGACAATTCCTGTAGAGTTTGTAGATGAACTTTCCTCTGCCTGAAATTGAATGCATGCAAACCCATGGTCATATAAAAATGTAAATATCAGTATTTTGATTTGATATTGAAACACAGTGACACTTCAAATGGAATAATTAGAAAGTCACAGGTACTTTAACAGCCTAAATACACTTTAGTTTGGAAAGAAATGCCTCTTTTAAATGGAAATATTTAAATTTAGACTTAGACTATGAAGAATGTGAATAGAAAAAGGTAAACTCAGCTCCTTAAAAGAATAAATGTTGAAGCACAGTGAAATATTTACCGTGTCAGGCTTCATTATTGAGCATATTCCAAGTACACAGGCAGTCTTTAAATGAGAACCACAGAAAAAAGCAGTATCACCCACACAGTTTACATTGATTGTTACAAGCTGCCTGGAATAACAGAGAATATTCATGTGTCTTTAATAACAGATATAATTATCGTGTTGTCCTCTTGAATTTCTGGTCCTAATCAATAGTAACAATTCACCAGTGAAATGGTCTCCATCTCTGAAAGCTGGGCATGAATTATTGACAGATGCACCTCAGCTGTATTTATCAACACAGGAGAGCAATATTAGTCCTATATTAGAAAAAGGATATTAATCTCAGATTTTTATCTCACATTCTACAGTAACTGCGAAAATTAAACCATAGTTTGCAATGCCTTGGCAGTCATATTTCACGTCACATTTTTCTATTGTTTGTGAGATCAAGTATTCATTTCAAATTACTATTTTTGCCTTTATGAGATAAATTACTTCTAATCATCTAAGAGCCTAGTTTTGTAACCATACAAATTGCAACACTCCTGGACTGTAATTTTGAAACCAGGATTTTAATAAATGAGAAAATAAGTTTTCATTATGCTTTTCAAATGTTGACTGTAGAGGGAAATAATGTAAAGATATGAATATTAGTGTAAAATATGAATTACTAAGGACAAAGACAAGAAGAGTTCAATTATTCATAAGAATGGAACTAACTCTTCAAATATGAATAATGTAAACATACTTCTTGTCCCCTGTAAAAAACTCTGATTTAAATTACAAGAACCTCTTGAGAAAAAAACCCCATTTTTCATCCAAGTCGAAACTGACCTTGCACAGTTTTATGCTTATTTAAATATTTAAAAATTATAACCTGCATAGGACTGGAATAAAGTAAGCCATTAGAGACCTTTACTAGAAGAAACTAGACTCAACTACACATGGCAAAAATAATTCCTGATGAAAAAGAAATCATAAAGTAGCAATGACTGGGGAGGACACCATAATAAGCATCTCCTTGACACTGACTCAGATTAGAGTATTGCTGTATAACAGCAGATGTGGGAAAATCACTATGTTTAAATTATTTCTCCTCCACTTTTCTGCTCTCTACCATTTTTTCAGGTATCTTTATTTCGTTTTACCTACCTCTTTAGATCTGGAAAATTGTTTGGCATTTTGCTTACCAGTAGCAATAAAGACAGCTAACATTCTCATAAATACAATAAAAGTTATAACAAGATTATAACTTCATGCATATTCCAAACATTTACCCAAAAAGAATCAGACTGCAGCACATTTGAAGATAATTTATAGCGAAGCTTCTCCTAGGACTTTTTTCTCAAATTGATGTCCTGAATTGTAAAACTTCAAGGTAAATTTCCATGCTCAATCCTAAAAAAGTTGCTATCCATTGCTCCACAATTTTTAGGAGCTCTAAAACTCTACATGGAAGCAGCTGACTTTCTGTTTTCTTTAACAAAAGTATAAGAGCATGAGGTTTGTAGTTAGAACTTGCTTTTTCTCTTAGAGACTACAGACTTGCTCTTGAACAAGAATAGTTACAGACGCTGGGATACGCATCCATGTCCTCCCCATATCCTACCTCTGTCAACATATGATTCCATTTGGAAAGTGATGAGACTCAATATATTCAAACTAATGTAAATGAATCAGGTATGGAACATAGTATGTGCTACAAATAATAGAAAGCGGTTTTATCCGTCTGTTGTAGAAGCATGGGGATATGTGAAGTCTGGGTATATATTTTGCAGGTAAAAATACTGCTTCCTTAAAGCATCTACAATCTTTTGGTACATACAGGTAACCTGAAATCTTCTACCCACAAAAAAAAAGGAGTGGAATAAAAGTTTCTTGAAGATTCTCATGCTTCATGTTTCAGTAAGCATTAAATACTCAATATAATTCAGATAGAGTTGGCATAATATTTGGGCAAGATTTCAGTGCCCCAAAACTATTTAACTTGTATCTCTAAGGAACATCTCTGCAGTTAACTATATTTAATCTGAAGAGGCAGGAATCCACTCAGATCATGACATAACTAAAATGATGATCTAAACCTTCAAAATGTAAAGACAAAGGTCATAATTTACATACCAGTTGGTACTAAATTAACATAGGCATACACTATGTATGCGTAGACAATTTACACAGTTAAGATAATAAAAATATTTGATCTGTGAATTCTTTTTTCCCCCCTAGATTATGCATCTCACTAATGTGGTTGCTCTTCTGTATTTCTGGGAAACGGGTCCCTCTAAATACAAAGCACTAGAAGATAAACACAAGTTTTTACAACATGATATGATTTGGCAACACTGTAATTTCATATACTGCTGCCCATAAAACGCGTAAAAATACTTACACAGCATCAAAAATGGGAGCAGCTTCTTTCTGCCAATTAAGCGCCTTGTCTTTCACAGTCGTGTTTGCGAACTTGTACTGTATATTCTGCAGGGTAAGAAAATAGAATTGAGATCAACACTTCAGGCTAAAGTGATCCCGACTCTTCGGCTATGCCCCAATACAGTCCAAGGAAAGAACTGACAGCAGTTTCCTTTCCCACCTTCTTAGAAATCCAAACAATATATACACTGAAGCAGGGACCAAAAGAGCGAGACACACTGGTTTTCATTAAAACTATGGCTAATCAGAACAGTTTAGAGATTATATATACCTAGGCCCGAATGATCTGTACTTGTTACACACAAATGCTCCTTCTCCTTATTGCTCGTAACATTTAAAAGGGGATACATTCAGCATGTCAAGTCACAATGGCTTCATTTTTCTCTGCCTGGCTGCCTCAGTCATATTGGTAATTTCGCTCTGAAAATCCCTGGGATTAATGTTCCCATGAACTGCTATCTAATTATTTCTCCTCAGCATGTTTTCTCTGCCTCCATTGTGCTTTTGTAAAATACGTGCTCAAGCGGTAAGTGTACAGCTATCGCTTTTTCTTATATACCTTTAGTTGTTCATCAATATATGGGAGTTCTAGAATCTCTGCTGCTGCTGGTCTCAATGAAGGATTCTTATTTAACATGCTGAAACATTAAAAAAATAAAAGTAATAATTAAGTGATTGTCCAAATTAACTAAAAAACCTGCTAAACAATAAAATAACATACCTGCACAGCACAGCATTCAGTTTGCTTGGATATCTATCAGGAAGAGAAGGTGTATCACCTTCTACAATTTTTAACACAACAGATAAAAAATTGTGTCCAGTAAACGCATGGTTCATACAGCACATCTCATATAAAATGCATCCCAGAGACCTTGAAGAATAAAATAACAGGAATAATATAAACAGGATTTTTGAAAGTAGCATGCATAGTGACATTACAGTAAGTAAAAATCACAATTGTATGCCATTTTCTCCTGGGAATAGGATATTTCATTATCATGCTATCCTTTTCATTTGAAATATTTTTATTCAGATCACAAATTATTAACTTTAAAAACAGGATAAATAATCATTCTATTTTCATAAGTGCAGACACAAACTTAAATTCTGTACATAAATGCACATATTCATGTATATATGTAAAAATAAAGTAAAACTCTATTATATGAACGACCTTAAGTGCTTACTCATTCAATTAAGAATGAAGATTTTTATTTAGCGACTGAGAAAATATTTCAGTAGTGTTTGGACATAGGTTTGTTTAAATTGTTTTTGAAAATTAATTTCTGACAACAAACTGAGGCTACAATTCAAATTCAAATTAAATAATGTGAAGTTTCAAATAACAGAAATGTCTTCTGGTATGTTTTCACTCATTTGGCCACATACTCAAAACAGATTATGAAATCTGTTGGTACTCAACAAAATATCAAATTTTAGATGGGAGCATCATTTTGAAACATCTAAGACTAAATTACTTCAAAATTTTATTTGAAGAAGAAAAGAAAAAATCTGAACATGTAGATCTGGAGACCTACCTAAGAACCAGCATCAGTTTTAAATCATTAAAAACCAGAAGGAATGATTACAAACAAATTTAAATGGGCCTCTGGTTTACCATCACCTTCTTTACCAGGCTCTTACTCACCAGTCCTAATGGATATCATCAAAGATCACCAAGTTGAACATTTTAACATAAACACTCTTGTAATAATTTACATAGTGACTATTCATAAGTTTGCACTTCAACTGGGTTTGGTCTGACAAATGTTTTTTGAAAAATAGGGGAGTCGTGCTTTCCAGGCTTTGAAGGATGCTCAGCGCTACCTCTGGTTTGCAGTCAGGAGAACTGAGGCACTGATGAGTGACTTGATCAAGGTCACAGAAAATGCTGGCAAGGGCCAGCTACAGGACCACACTCATCTAAGTAACACAATTAAATATCAGAGCAACTTTGCTCTTAGCATAGTATTCAACTGTGGTATTTATAACTTACAGAAGTAGTATCAAAATAAAGCATAGTGATAATAAGTGAAGTATGTACAGGTGAATGGCTTTGATGAAAAAGTCATAAACTACCTTTGAAAGCGAATAACGAATAAAATCGCAATTATTATTTTTGGTTAAAGAAGATGAATCGATTCAGTATGTCTGGCAACAAAAGAACAAGAGCAAGTAATCTTAAAGCTGAAAGCCAGGCTCTACATACAATGTCAATAAGGAAGAGGAGAGAGAATAGGGGGCTCTCTCACCGGTACTTTTACAAGCAGTATGTGAAAATAATTAGCAGAATATTTTTGCTAACTGCATAAAGACCAGCTACTGAGGTACATAAATGATTGCTTAGTTTTTGCAGATTGAACCATCAACCAGCTTTCAAACTGCCAAAATCAGTAAACTGTAACACACAGATGATGATCTATAGTTATGATGTATGTACAAATTCTGAAACAAGATCATTACTACATGAGAAAACACTTAAAAACAATAAGGACAACAAAAAACCCCCTGCACACATGGCATCTGAAAGCGTCAAACAAAAATGGAAACCAGCCAGAAGGAAGAAAGCAGGAAGGAAAATCCCAAACCTGACAGACTGTACTGTAACTGCTTTTTTGCAGAACCAATCTGTTTTGGAGGCTGCTTGATTCTGGCAGCTAGAAATTGCCTAATGAGCCATTAGGAGCACAGGATTTGTCACATCAGGGAATCCCATTTATTCATCTAGTTTAATACTGTGACTACACCTGGGGCTTTAGAGGAAGATAAAAAGAACGCCCAGGGCATTCTGCTACAGCCAGGGCCACGAACAGGCTACCCAGGGAAAACCCCATCTGTCCCATGAAAGAAAAAATGATGGAAAAAAATAAAAGAAAAATGAGGGGAAAAAAATTAAAGTTTTTACTGCAGGATACAATTCCTTGAAATTAAATAAATACCTCCTAAAATGAGAACTGCTGCCCTAGGTCCCAGAGCAAGGCTGTTTCTTCCCAGGACAGCTGCTGAGCTGCGATTGCCCGAGGGAGTTACCACCAAGCTTTTGCCTCGAGACTGCATTTCTCAGTTGTTTTTCTACAGTCCTACTCTAAGCATCTTGTAAGGAACATATTCAACAAGAGAAACGGCTTCCTGATTCCCATAAGCAATCTGCACATGACCCAAACATATAATTTCATTACTGTTATAATCTCAACTTGTATAACTGCCAGTGTTATAAAATTCTAAAATGGTCATTAAACTATCCAGCCAGATCATTTGGTTTGACAGCTCCCTGTGTTGGTGAATAGGCTTGACAAAAGTCCTAAACAGCACTTCATTTCAGCAAAATTGATGGATGACCATTTAACATCAAAGCCACTTATGTTCAATCGCATCATAAAATGGAGTGTCGGGGCAGCCTTCAGTGTATTCTCTACAATATCGACTGACAGACCTCGAACTTCTTCTCAGGAGAAACTGCCCTGGGGTTTTTGGTGCTTCTTGTTTACTTTGTTGTCCTTTTAACATCTTCTGATCTTTTGTATGTTATAGTCCTTCAAAGGCTGCAAGATCCAAGTTAGCTTTTAAATTAAACTCCAAAAGCCAGACAATCTAAATGCATATATCCCTTTGTGGCTTGTATCTCTCAGTCTGACGGTACCAGAAATCTGAAGAATCTGCGGACTCCAGAGTCTATAAGGAATATATATATGCACGCATGTACCATCACAACTCTCTCAGCCACTGCTTTTCAGTTCTTCACTGCTTTTATTGCTACTTTTGGTAACTATTCTCCATTAAATTTGGCAGTAAAAAATAAAAAAAAATCTATTCTTGGATTGTTAATATTAAAGAAAAAGATAAACTGGGGGGAAAGCACGGACAAGCAAACACAATTAGAATGAAGTCCAGCCCTGAAATTTTAACTGAGGACAGACATAAATGCTGCAGCTTCTCTAGACTAACTGCAGAACTTCTTCTGAACATAAAATCTGGAAAACATGAGGCTTTTTTTCCCACCTATTGACCTTGGGTTATAAAGGATAATAATTCTTGCCCCAGCTGCTGCACTGTGAATATTCTAGTCAGTTTTGAAGAGCCAGCTGCAGAACATTTCAGTGAACCTGAAAAGCACAATGTCTCTTTAGACCACATCATTAACACAGTGTAAATTAAGGTCTTCCCAATGAACAATGATTAACTGAACTGAACAGTGAGAGGACCATGATAACTTAGTGAGAGAGCAATAACTGCCTTTTGTAGAAGATATTTTACATTTTCTTATATTTAACACGGGAACACTTGTAATTCTGAATTTTTGTGTGGAATATTTTTCATTCTGCTAGAGATCAGAAGGATGAGTCTGAAGAGAGAACATCACTTCAAGTACACATAAAAGACTTGGGCAGTTTCTTCATGAGCAACTGAACTTCTTGCAAAGCGGCACAAGGGTTTCGCCTCCCCTGGAGCCTCCAGGGTGGGCTCCCCTGGGTGCTCAGGGACCTCTCGTCTTTTGGCCCCTGTTAAATGGGGCAAACACAAAAAAACCCCAAGCAGAATCATTATTAAAAGATTAAATGAAGAGATTAAATGACAGAAGCATCAATCAAGCATATGAGTCACGGTAGTTGACAAGTCCTGATCAGGAGAGAGTTTCTTGGCTCAGAAAGAAAAGGGTTTTGTGGGCTGGGGGTCCAGTGAGTCAGGGCACACCTCCTCCTTAGTGCCCCTGCAGCGCGGGCCAAGAAGCTCCCACCGAAGGCAGTCCCACCATCAGATAAGTGCTCTTGGTACTGCTTTGGAAAGATTACAAAATGCATAAAGTACGGCAGAAAGCTAATAGCTAGTCAGTTGCGGGAGGGGGCTGCTTTTTTCTGCTGTTTTGTAAATTTTAAAAGGGTGATCAACACATCATCTATAAAAATATTGGACCAAACTCCGCTGTAATTTACTCTGTACAAGCTCAATGAGTTATATGGATTGACACTTGTAACCACAAAGAGAATTTAAATATGTATTTTACATTCCATTTCAACTGCAATAAAAGAAATTCTTCTTTATGGTGAAAGAGCACAAAAGGCAGGGTTTCCCTGGCTAGTCACTTGTTTTGACTTCTTTTGAAATCTTCTCTCAATATATTTTTATTGACTGCATGTATTAACTGATATTTGTTTTGATACAGATGAACAAGAGAGAATCTGACATCAAATCCATCTCAGTTCAGCTACACGGACTGTGAGATGAGATTCCTGATACATCTGTTGACTGGACTGAACATGTTAACTGTGAAAAATGGTTCCTACCAGCTGAAAGTACAGATGACTGTTCTCAACTTTTAGAATTATATCCTGCAGTCACAAGTATATTTTGAGAAGGCAGAACTGGGCAGAAGGTAGAATAAATTATCAAGTAAACAAACTACATTCCAGTGAGCAAATCTTTTACAAAGAGTATTTCCTGATTTGAAATATTCATAAAAAAAGGAACCTTCAGATATGCATGCTTACAGAAAAAACCACCTCTTCAGAGAAGAAACAAAGCCCATTTTATATAAAAATACTATGACAAAATTCAAAAACACAATAATTTTAACCATCATCTTAAAACACAAGATGTTTTAGGACACACATAGGAACAACCCAGACATTTTCCCCATTCCAAAAACCACTCTTCATCTTAGCTTGCAAGAATACCTGCACACCTAAAGGTTTTCTAAAGCTTTTCAGCATCACCTCAGAAGTCCTGATCTCAAGAATTTGTACCATCTAAGTGCAGAACTGGCACCTTCCTTTCTGCCTTTGAGCCTCTTCACAATCAGAGTGCCTTTTTGCTTCTGTCCTAACACTCCAGTTACTCTTATTTTCAGGTCCCCTTCCAAGTACCTTCTTCCTTTTCACATTTCCCAATGTGTTTCAGTTCAGTTCCTAAGAAGGTCCTTCTGCTTCCCTCTCAGACAGGAATTACTCTTTCTTTGTGCACTTGGAAGTTTCACAGAAAGTTGCTTCTTTGCATTGATCTAACTATCAGAAAGAAAAAGATTGCCCCCTTCCTAGCAAAACCTGAACTTCGTCTACCACCATCCTGTGTCACGGCAGAGACTGGACCTGAATCTTACTCTCCTTCGAAGTCCCAGATAACTCAGAATAACAGCAAACTACATGCTTCTACAACGAGCAAACTTATAAATTGAAACATAGGATACAAATCTCCTGGAATAGTTTTAGTGGAGTAGTGTGAGCAGCCTACTGAAAGTGCCATTTAAAAAAAAAAAAGTAGCTCCTAAACAACATCAAATGCTGACCTAGAAAATAAATGCCTAATCCAACCAAAATAGCATGCTGACACTCACCAAATGTCAGATTTTGTGTTATATCCCTGGTGCTTCAGTGCTTCTGGACTCATGTAGTATGGTGTCCCAGTAAATGTAGTTGCCAGATCACATGAACCCATCAAAAGACAAGAAACTCCAAAGTCTCCTAAAAGTAACAGCAGTAACAATAACCTATTAATATAAATCTATATCTATTCATATAAACTTTGTGTTTATTGTTGGATGTGATGCAATGACAGTACACTCAAAAAACCTGCCATTATTTTAAAATACTGAAAAAATAATTTTCTGTAATTCTTCAAAATAAAAACACCACAAAATTACAGAAGTACAGAATGATGTAGGTCTGAAGAGGCCTCACAAGGTCATCTGATTCAAACCCATGGCTCAAAGTAAGGCCAACTTCAAAGTGACATGAGGCTGCTCAGGTCCATGTCCAGCCAAGCTTGGAGCACGTCAAGGCTGGAGATTTCACTGCCTCTCCAGGCCCCTGTTCCTGAGCCTGACTGTCAAATAAACATTTGACCACAAATCAAAATGCTATATTATATTTAAATCTCCTTATTAACAAAATGTCTGCTGGACTGTTCTATCTTACTAAAATATATCTTTAAAAAGTATGGAAATCTCACCAATTTTGAGCAGATTATTTTTCAAAAATATATTCTTGGCTTTCAAATCTCTGTGAAGTATCCGCCTGGAATACAAAAGGAAATTCAACCTCATCCAACTTGAAGCATTCACAGTCACATATCAAGTATCTCAAGTATTTAACTTCATTCCTTGTTAGGAAGGCCAGCCCACCACTCCTAGTCTAAGCCTGGAAGTGGCAATGCACAGATGATGGCATTAAGGAGCTTCATCTAAACACAGAGCTGCATTCAGAGACACCCAAGTGCAGGAACTTGACTTCACTGAGTCAGATTTTTCTTGCATCATGTTGGTGAGCATTGGTGGGTTTTAATCTCTTATTTTATTATTACTGTTACTTTGTAGAAATAAAATCACAGACACTTTGAACTTAAAAGTTTCCTGGATATCTGTGATTTGAATAACAGGTATCTTGAAGTATAAAAATTCTCCAGAAAGCTTCCAGTAGCATAGTATTTGAAAAGGAGATGAAGAGATGGTGCTCGGGTCATATTAGTTTGAATTAGAACATAATGCTAATATTAGCTTGCAACATATTGATGCAAATGTTACACACATTATTTGCATTACCAATAATTATATTATGATGCTTTTGTATATTAATACAAGTAAAAAATACTTGGGGTCATTCTTTGTAACTTCACATGATGATGCCTCTTGATGCAAGCCACCTTAGCCTGCCAGGATACATCAGAAGAGAAACAAGTTACAAGCTGAAATCCTCAACTGAAACAATTACTTTAGTTATAGTAAGAAATAAATATTAACCCTGCACTACAAATCCAGTTTAAGAAAGAGTGTGACTTTTTGAATTAAATGGGCTCCAGCAGAACTTAACCTAACTTGACAGGCAGTGAAGTGGTTATTGATATTTTGGGTAGAAATTAACACTTAAGGAGAGTTTAAAATGTGTGCTATAAATATACCTGTACCTATGTTCTATAGAGTACCTGCTTGCTGTCTCATAGTCGTAAAAAAAGCAACATGAAACACTGAGCAGTGGGCAGCCTCCTTGAATAAAGCTTCCTCTGCAACATACCAGCCAGTGAAGATGATTGAAGGTGAAGCAGTTTACTGCTGTGAAATATTCAGCAATTAATTTCTGCTTCCTCTATCTGAAGAACTATTTAGAGAAATAAGAGGTTCTGGGTAAGTCTGAATCCTGTACTAGGGAAGACAGCTCGAAATCCAGATAAAGTACATGGCCAAAGCCTGCTACCTGGGAGATGGAAAGCAACAGCTTTGTCTGTGTAAACAGTAACCATATAAAAATCTCTGTGTTGGCATATTGTTCATAAAGATCAGCAAAGTGATGGATAATGTAATGGTCAGCTTTATTCAAACTGAGGTTAAATGAATCAACGGCCTCATTGCCTGATTGCTGTGGGATCAATTTAGTGCACAGATGTGCAATGGGCTACAAGCATGCCAGAGAGACTAGATAATGGTTTCATGCTGTCGCCAGCTAGATAAGACCACCGAACTATGTTTCCTCTCGTTTACTTCTCTCTCGTTATATCAATGACAGATGAGGATATTTCATTCTAGATAATGGGACGCAAACCTGTACCTAGCACTCAGTCGCCGAGATCAGCTGCTTCGGAGCCGACCCAGCTCCGCCAGACCGACTGATCGCGAGGTACAGGTGGGTTTTCGGGAGATTCCTTCGACAGGAAAACCCCGAGGCAGCGGAATATCCCGACTCCCGCCGACAGCTCTCCCAACGGGAGTTGCCGCGGCAACCGCGGTCACCACCCCTCCCCCAG